TTAATCGTTAATCAATCGGTCAGGTTATTCGGAGTTAATGCAAGCTACCCTCAATATTCCCGAAAACTATGTACAATAAAGTGCATTAATGATGTTCTTTCGAGTACAGAAAAATATAAACGCGCGTGCCACTTCTAAGCTGTCGACGCGTGTCTCTCCGGAGGACTGAATAATCGATTAGAATGCAGTTATTCCAACCGAGAATAAAAATCTTCCGCCTATGAGATTATTAAGTATAAATGTATATGTGCTGTCGATGTGTACACGTACGAAACAGTACACACATGTACGAGTTATATAGAAGACTTCATTAATGCAGACCCATTCCCTAGCCATAGTGACATCGAAAATTGTTAATAAAGACGCGGTATGTCCGAATATTTGTGCATCATGACTGTTGATTATTCTGTGGATTAGCAATGCTGTTCCAAAGCAGCAGTCATAATGTACAAATATTCAGAAAGATGCGCCTAATTGGAAGTTCCCAGTGTCACTATGCTTAAGGAATGGGACAGCATTAAAGTTTGCTGTACAGTTACCGTCATGTATGCTGTACCATTCCTTAGATCGAAAATTACACGATTCTCTGCCTTAAATATATATATATACATAAGGTCGTTATGATTACAACTATTGTAACATTAATATAATTAGATATTAATATAATTAAAATCATTTATGCGATTTTCAACCTTGTAGGTTATGTATAAAGCTGAAGATCGTGTAATTTTCCATCTAGAGGTGGGTGTACACTGAGCGAACGAGCAAACAGCGAATGTGTAATATAAATGTATATATTCGCGTCTAAAAGCGCACGAATTTTTTTGATAAATTACCTTATGAGCAAATCGGCCCGAAACGTTCGGTTCGGATTCACTATGGCGTACACATTTTCCAAATTGTAACGAAAGTTCGCATTCGCTGTTCATGCCTCGTTCGTTCGCTCAGTATATACCCAGCTCTAGTATAGATGTCTGTGGATATAAGAAATATTACAAATTGCTATTTTTACATAGTGATTTTTCAGTAATTTCTAGTAACTCTTAATCCAATCAAAACTTAGACCGAGATTTAGTGAACATTAGCTCTAAAATTGGATCTACAATAAGTGTAATAAGCCTTTAATCTTTTGTTCCAAACAATAAAATCTAACGTAATTTCTAACAAAAGGCATTTCCCACATTGCCAAAAATAATCATGCTTTTAAACCTTGGGAATTGTGAATCTGGTAACGCTGGAGAAACGCTTTTCAGCTAAAAATTGTTAAAAATTAGCGCTTGAAGCAAAAGGCTAACCAACACCTGTTGTAGATCCGATCTAAGAAAATTTCCACGCACTTGTCTATCCTTGGCCAATAATTGGCCGTCTTTGATGGTAATCTGTTTTTGCAGATGCGCGATCTTTTCCTTGAGCTGCGTGACCGCCACCACGTGATCCGAGCTGTTCGGATCGTGCGGATCGTGCACCCCAGCCATCCGTGCAGCTTTCGCCGGGCTGGGACCGTTTGTGTCGCCGCCCTCAGACTGCGGCGGCAGCTTCGTTACGTCGACCCTGTGCGGTCTTTTATTGTGACCCTTCAATCTGCAACGAGTCACACAGGAGCATAAATAAGAATTTGACCGAGACAGTAACTTAAAGAACGCGCCTGTACACAACAAATCTGTACTCTTCATAACTGAACTTCTATCTGCAATTGAAATTATATAGACATATTTGATACTTGATGGATGAGAAAAGAAAGTAAAGATTGCAAAATAATCAACTGAATAAAGGCTCTCATGTGATGTCTATTCAAAGCAAGAACTAATCGGCAAAAGTACAGGCGAGTAAGAGCCAAACGTTGGCCTTATAACGGAATTTTATATTTTAAGTTGTCAACACAAATGATTAAACCCCTGAAATGATGTGCGTTTCGGCGACTTACATGACGACCTAATATCTATTTTTTTCTATCTTCACACAAGCAAAATTGTTCAGAACGTCCAGCTGAAAAGACCTGTCGCCGAGTGGCGTCGGATTTCTCGAAATTGTGCTGCGTACGCGACTACGTGGAAGCAATTGAAAGTACCCAAGAGTTACCTTGTGGATTTGGATAATTACTTTTGTTCTTTGTGCTTTGCAGCCCTCTGCTGAGCCAGTTTCAAGTGCGCCCTCCTCTCTGCGTCTGATTGCTTTGTCTTGGCCAATGCTCGTTTATACGACAATGTACACAGCCAACATAACAACTTTCCGTCCACCTGAAGCCCGAAATATCATCGTGAGCAATTCAATGGCGATTATGAAATAGAAACCGGCATTTAGTAGCTTTAACTAAAGACTAAGATCCAATTGCACCAACGTGGCTTTAAGTAAAAGTTAAAATTTTAAGTTTGTCGCACGTCTTTCACTTTAAAGATATGCAAAAACAACATCTAGAATGCTTTACACTGATCTTAACCCTTTCGTTACGGCAGTCCGCGCCGCCGGAGTGACGCCATTGAACGGGGCAACGCGAAGTGTGCACATTGCACATCGGTAGTCTTCGATGTTCGCATTTACGTCTTTCAACACCACTTTGGGATTCTCTTATATATATATATATATATACTTACTGCCGACTATAGTCGGCACCCGTAACGAAAGGGTTAATGAGATAAGCGTAAATTAAAACACTTGAGGTGTCGCCTTCGCCTTGTCTCATATGCATTATTTATAAAATTTAGAAACCAACATACACGCCGATGACATTTGCCAGAAGCATATATATGCCCCACGGCACTCAACAGGTTAGATACTTGAAACTCTCCTGTTACCTTTTTATCTTCGTCCTGTCTATCGAAGGCACACTTCTGCTTGCACTGTTCGCACGTCACCGGAGGACCGTAACGTTTCTCAGAATTTGTACACCGTTGACATTTACTGCCGATGAACGCGGCGATGGTATTGCAATATTCGCAAGCCGACGGCTTCCCATAGGACTTTACATTCTGCTCACACTTTTTGCATATAGTGCTTGTGTTACCCTTTCTGTAAGATCAACAATTTTGAAATTGTGCAACTTTGTGCTATTCTTATAAGTAACTTTTAAGAAAAAAAAAAAACAAAGCAACTTGTCCTCGGATAATACTTACATGGTCTGTTGGAATTCCGATCTGCAGTATGTACATTTTACCACAGGAAATGCTCCTCTACATTCCTATGTAAACCAAAGTTACATTTCAGTATTTACTTTAGCATTTATTCTGCTTAATTTAGCACGTATTTATAGTATATATTTGCATTTATTTTAGTTTTATTTTAGTATCTAAAGAATAGATCTACTAGATGTATCAAAGCATTATAGCTGTATAATGATATCATCAAACTCAATACAATATAATAAATAATGCTTAAAGAAAATGGTGGCATTAAACATAGACCACAATCAAAGTTAAATTCAAGATTTCACCACAAATTCTCAAAGTATAATGTTTATTATTACAATATATTGTATAATAAAATATTATATAATGAATACATTCTCACACAAATACACACACATTTCCTATGACTATTTATTGAATGTTCAGTGAGCAGTTGCAATATTGAATATACAATATTCTTTATACACATAGCATACAAAAATTTCCTTAATACACGTGTTTTTATATTCAACTCGCATTCCTGAATTTTTAAGAAAATTCTTACGTTATTGCGATCGTGAAAGAAAAGTTCTTTGCTGCTAACGCGTAGTAAATATTCATCCAGTCATACTATTCCAATTCGCAACCTTGATTGCCACTTCGCTACGAGGAAATCGCATGTCATCGTAATCGCGATGAAACAGAAATCGCGTAGAAAGTACGTCGTAAAAAGTGCGACAGTGTCGCGAAAAATTCGCGAAGCGGTCGAACAGCGGAACGAGTGAACGAAGAGAACGGTAAGCTAGTCGGTGTGTACCTTGCACAACTGTTGTCCTGGTGAGAGGTCCTCGAAAGGGTGCCTGGAGAAACACCTTGAACACGCAAACAACGCCTGCATGTTGTTCGCGCTCATCTTCGCTCATCCGACGCCGCTCCGGCGGTTGACGCAACACCGAAGCAGCGAGACGACGACAACAATAAAGAAAGAGACGGCGATATCGCACTCGACGGGGAAAGTCTCGTATCGCGGAGAGCTGCTGTTGCTACTGCTGCTTCCATCGACAACAGAAAGAAAATGTAATACACATGAAACAGCGACGCATGCCGAGCAATCGGTTCGAAGCGAGACTCACATACCTCACGACGAGACGCGTGTAACCTCAATCGCGAACTCGTCGATGAAATAAACGTTTCAACCAACGCGGTCGCTACCGTAAGACCGGTTGTTGACTTTCACGCGTCCATCTGTGATCACCGCGAGAATCGACATGGCCGACTATAACGGCGGAAGTGGCCGCCCGAGGGCACCACCGCCAGCGTTCGCGGCCACGTTCGAGCATAAAGCTGGTTCTACATTTAGTTGCTTTATCGCAAAGTCACGAGAAATTGACCAATCGCAATCGATTATTTTGGACCGCAAGGAAAAATCATAATCGATTGCGATTAGTCAATTTTTTGCGACCTTGCGATTGCACGATTAATGCGGAACCAGCTTTAAATCCCGTACAGACGGATTTCTAAAGTCGGGTAAACGCTCAATCAAGCGGTCCGGGGCTCGATTCTTGAAGTCGCGCGATTAATCTCGCACACGAAAGCTAGGGTCCACTTGACGCTGCAATGATCCGTACGCTCCGAAGCGCTCGCAGTATCGAGTGGATTCTAGCTTTCGTATGCGAGACGTTTATCAAACATCGATTTTGCCCATCTTCGTACGAAACCAATCGAATATAAATCCTATAATTAATATTTATAAAATATCGCCCAATCAAATGCAGGGCAAACATTTTTTTTGTTCAAAAGGAGAATATAAGCTATTAGACAATAATAATAATAGTAGTACGAAAAAATTACTCATTATCACATACAAAATGTTTATTTAAATGTAATTTTCTCCAAGAATAAAAAACTTTCGAAAACAATATTACGTAACTTATTATAATAAAATTGTATCAATATTAATTACATATATACGATATAAAACAATCTTTTTGCACAAATCTTACAAATATTCCAAAAATTATTGCAAATCCCATGTGTCCTATTTTCTTTTTGTTTTCACACTGTATACGCCCTATGATAGTAGATTACAAAAACTTACTTTCCAATATTTCTATATTATCTAATTATCATTCAATTAAAGTAACATATCTTAATGTTTTTTTATATCTTAAATTAAAATGGGACATGATCCGATAACTATCAACTTGTGTATCTATCGGTTTAGACTGATCTAAATATAACTGAAAATAGTGTACGCTATTTTTAACTAATAGATTAATTTCTGCCAATTCTTCCGTAGTTAGTTTCTTATTATGTATATTTTCAATCCTTATACCTAATATAGTGGAATTAATAACTGCTAGTTCAAACCATATAAAAATGCAATGGTTCAAATTATCTGTTACAGACAATGTCTTTAAACAATCTTCTAAAACATCTATTCGCCGTTTTTGTAGTTTTATCTGTTTGATTTTATCATGTTCATAAGATGCTAAATATTTGTACGCTTTTGAAGTATAATGTGCAATTTCTGTACGAAATTCTGCAGACACTGAAGCAAGTGCATGCGTCTTTACGTTATGAAGCAAATTAAGAATACGTATAAAAAGTATCTTAGCATCGCTGTAATCCGTAATATAATTATCTGGCATTACATGAATAAACTTTGTAAATTCCTCTTTCACATCCGTAAATATTAATTTCATTCTTTTTCTGTTAGATTGTATTATGGACTTTAATTCAGATTTAACTATTTCGCGAGGACGATCTTTTTCTTCCTTATGTAGCAGTCGTTTCCTTGACAAGTACAAAATTATAAGTCCATATTTGACCCAAATCATATCAATAATGGAGACAACATTTTTAAACTTTAAAGATACATAGTCCTTCTCCTTGGAGGATGTTTCTGCCTTACATTTCACGTACATATCATTATAGTATTTCATCATCATAACGGACGCAGCGCAAAGATGATCTTTACATTCAATGAAGCAATTGCAGCATAAAAAAAATTCAGCTAATTGTATCGCTTCAAGAGCCCATGCATTATGATTTATAGATGACGGTACTGTCTTCAATAATTTCATCAGCAACTTATGCATATATGTTGCAATTTTCTCCGTATCTATCAGGCCATATTCGAAATCGTCACTTGATCTTATTAAGATACTTAAAGTACTCAAATACACTCTGTCCAATAGATGTACCGTATTTAATTCAAATAAATTGCCGTAAAAGCCTGTAACAGTCACAGCATCGATAGGAACAGGAAACTCATCCTCTCCTTTTGTATATAGGAAGTATAACTCCAGAGCTTTATTTAAACAGTATAAAGATTTCTTTGGATTTTTCAATTTCTTGTAAAGTCGACCCAATTCATAAAAATTACACATCGTTTCGAGAATCGTTTTGTTATTCAGTTCTTTTTCCTTAAGTAATGCCATACTTCGTATAAGATGAAGTTCACTTAAATACGTATTTTCCTGAGGCAAATCAGATTTTACAGAATTATCTATACAAGTCATCAAGATGAAACATGATGCGAGAACTATAACGTCCTCCAGTTTCGGATCTTTCAAATTGTTTATTGTATAAAAATATCGGTCTAGGCGTTCTTCAAAGATTTTTATCACTTTCACCGGAAGTATAGAACATGAAACATACTGCACGGATGTAAAAGTTTTTAATATTTTGAAGTCCGCAGCAAGTTGTTCGGTTAAATTTGTCGTATTTTCAGTATTTTCGACTTTCTCAATCGACTCTGCTTTCGTGAAGGATGCTAAAGAAATCGACGTAATTAGAGCGAGGTGAATGCTATATAATTTCTCTCAAATGCAGGATTTTTGCTTTACCTAAGTCGACGAGCATCCATTCCTTCTCGATTGTACCTTCAGCGGACATCCTTAGAAAAATCAAGTTTGCATGGTCAATATCGATAAATTTTCCGCTTTTGAAATTAACTAAGTATGGTAACGAGCCAACCTAAACCTCCAAGCTTAGATCCACCTTAGATCCCAACAGGATTTGCAAATTCTCTTCTTGCGAAAGAAGGGGAACAGTTTCAGCGCCGTCTATGCTATGATCTGGACGAAGCCGAACTATGATAGGTAAATCGAGAATGCCAGTATGTAACTTTACCCAATCAATACCGAGCATTAGTTACATTACATCTATGTTATTATTTCGCATTCAATAATGTAAGTGTTATATAGGACGAACGTGATCAGCATAAAATGTTGTTGTCTAGTATAACGTGGTTCAAGGTGAGTTTTAAGATGATCTTAAAGCTCACTTGAATCATGTTGTGCCGGGCAAAAAATTTTCAAACGGTCCACTAACAGCAGAATAAACCAAACTGACCACGTTGCGTAGTTCATCCTGTATAATACTGTGTGTTATATAACATTAACATTGTTGAATGCGAAATTATAATATAGGTATAATGTAACTGATATTCGGTGTTGATTGGATATTCAGAAAAAAGTATTGTATTTATTTCTTTGAAATTCAATTTTATTGAATTTTAAAAGAGTCTACAAGAGCCACTGTGGACTTCTCGTGAAGACTTCGGAAACACATAGAATCGCTATATATTTGATATTCAATCAGACTAATAAGCGGTAAGTCGCGACAGAACGATTTTTTGCAAAAAAAAATCTAATTAAAAAAAAGGATTATTTCACTAGAATAAGCACTAGTGGGAAAATGCAACACGAGGCTACATTATCATCAATTATTAATTATTGAAGGCCGAATTGTAAAATCAAGTTCCGTAGTTTCCTTCAAAATTATGCCAGGAATATACTATAAAGTATTTTGTGAGGACTGATATCTCTTACAAGTCGGAAAAATATTGAGTGTAAATATTATACACACACACATACGCATACACATACAAAATGAAGCATTCTATTATATATAAATTTATAAGTATGTAAATGAAAAATATATTATAGAGACAATTTCTTGCATAATTATTTTAATTAAAAAAAAATAGTTTTCTAGGCATTAAAGATCTCTCTCTCTCTCTCTCTCTCTTACTCACTCTCTCTCTTTTTCTCTTTCTTTCCCTCCTTTCTCTCTCATATGTTTCTCAGCATTGAATTATATCTTATATTTAAAGAAGAAATAATTTGGTAATTTTTGTCAATACATCAACTACATCATTCGTCAAGCCGTACCGTACGGCATCAAAATTCTCCATATATAACTGAAAATAGTTTACAATATATTTTACCAATTGATCGATTTCTGCCAATTCTTCCGCAGTTAGTTTATCTCTATCGACATTTTCAATATTTACATCTAATACAATGGAATTAATAACCGCTAGCTCAAACCATATAAAACTGCAATAAATTTGATCGTCTTCATTTAATGTTTTTAAGCAATCTTCCAAAGCCTCTACCCGCCGTTTTTGTAATTTCATCTGGTTGACTTTGTCGCGCTCGAAAAATCCAAGATACTTGTATGCTTTGGAAATATATTGCGCAAGTTCTGCGCGAACATCTGCATCCTCCGAAACAAACTTATTAGCCTTTACTTTGTTGACCAATTGAAGAATGCGCACAAAAATAATTTTAGCATCATTGCAGTTTGTGATGTAATTATCTCTGGCTATATACATAAAATCTTCATATTCTTTTTCTGTACACGTAAACAATAATAATCCTGTGGATTGTTTGACAGACTGTACCATAGACTTTGCTTCATAACAATTTGTCCACGAAAAATTATCTCTTCCCTCCTTTTCTAAAACATGTTTACTTGATGAATACAAAAGAATAAGTCCATATCTCACCCAGCATGTGTCAATAATAGAAATGATGTATATATATTGGCGGTGCAGACAACCCTTCTTTTTAGCAGATAGTTCTACATGTATTTTACAATAATCGTTGAAATGTTTTGCTACAACAGACGCAACAATAAGATGATTTTTACATTCCATAAAGCGACCGCACGATATAAAAAATTCAGCCAATCTTAGCACTTCCTTAACCCATGATATATGATCTACAATTGCTGGTATATTGTTCAATTGCTTCTTTAGCAAATTATGCATATATGTTGCGATTTTCTCCATATCTACCAGCCTATGTTTGACTTTATCCTTTAATATTATTAAATACTTTAAGGTATTCATATACATTCTGTCCAATAAATACAGAGTATTTGATTTATCTTCAATGCCTATAATATTTAGTATATCAATAGGAGCAGGAAAAACATCCTGTCCTTTTGTGTATGCCATATATAACTTCAATGCATCTTTCAAATATTGTAAAGATTTATCTAAGTTTCATAATTTTATGTGAAGATTGCTCAATACGTTTCGAGTCATTATCGCTCCAAGTATAGATTTTCTATCTAGTTTTTTGTCTTTTAGTAATGTCCTACTTCGTATAAGGGACAATTCAGCTCCATATGAATATTCTTCTTCTAATATATCTTGGGGAAGTTGTATATGAGACATTATGATGAAAGACTGAGCGAGAACTATAACGTCATTAAGGTTTGGATCTTTTGAATTGGTTAATTCGTGAAAATTTTGCTCCATTTTTCTAATTTTAAGCTCATGTCTGATTGTCAGAATACTTCCATTGGCGGAAATAGCTTTAATTGTTTCAAGTCACGACAAATTTGTGTAAATTTTTCGGTATAGTTCATTCTTATTCTCTCATCATTTTCAATATTTTTAATAAGATTCGATCTCGTAACGGATGCTAAAGAAATGATAACAATATGATCAGAATAATGTAATTATATAATTCATTTCAAATATATAGTATTTCTCTCTTCATTTTACCTGAGGCAACGGAGTCACATTCCTTGTCGAATATATTTTCAGCAGACATCTTTAGAAAAAATTACTTCGAATGATCATGATATATATCATGGTATTCAAACTTCTTCTTGGAAGAAAGGGCAACAATTTCAGCGTCATCTGCATTTGAACTCGGATGTGTTGCCGAACTAAAATATATAAATAGATAACGTCAGTGGATAATGTAGAGTATATAATTTAACTCAGAGAAAAGTATTCTTTATTTTATTGAATTTGAATTTTATTGAATTAAAAAAAAAATTATCTATTAAAATATTTAGAAAAAAGAAAAAAATAAATGTATAATCATTCACACGAGTCGCATCGTTGTTAGATGCGATTGGTCAGTTCCATTGGACAAACTGAATTTAATCGATCGATTTGATTAACTCATGTTGGTGAAACCGGGCGTGTGTCGCGTGATTTCGCTCAATACTGGTTTCAATGTCCCATGAATTTGCACCTTAAATCTTAGTCCTTAGTCTACAATAGGTGCATTCAGTTTTAAGCCTCAAGAAATTGACCAATCACAATCGAACGTGAAAAGAATAATGTGATTAGTTAATTTTTTAAGACTTACACGCAATATCCAATGAACGAGTAGCTCTTCTGGAAAAGCAGTACGCTCATTGGATATCGCGCGTCGCACATCACGCTGGTCTGCGAGAGCCATTGGTTGCGTTCAAAAAATACAACAGTTGTACAATTTAATAAACAGAATAATTCGTCAATATAATTGGTCTAAATTTAAGGATCTAACAGTGAAGACCACTGATCGCTTATGTTTTCTGAACGCAGTAATTAGTTGCAAGTCGATCATAAACAGACGCAACGTTTATCGTAATAGCCAATCAGAAACGTCAGTAATATACTGACACTTCTGATTGGTTATCACGACAAGCGTTGCATCTGCTGACTTTAACGTATAAAAGAACCTACTATTCAGAGTTCTTTATTTCTACCCCTATCGTGAAAATGGAGAACTCGGATTCTCTCAAGCTTCTTCTACTATTTGTGGTCGTAGGAAAGTCGTAGAATACACTTCACGTTGCAATTGCTTTAAAGCACTGTATAGACTACAGATAACATTAAGACATAATAACACGTGTTTAAAGAAAAGTAATATAATTATCATTAATGTTTTATTGAAACATGCTTCATTAAAAGCCTTCATAATTGATGATAAAAATATATAATTGATGACAAATAATATTTGTATGAAAAGAATCCATATCTTATACATTTTTACAACTGTATTAAAGTAATGATACAATTTTATAAAACAACTGATTTTAAATTAAATCTCTACAGATAATTACAAAAATGCTAAGGTTAAAATAAATACTAAAATCCGATTGTAGTAAATTCCGATTAAGCCAAACGACAATTAACTTACAGGGATTAAAATTTCGCAATTAAAATTTCGATCTTCTCTTTCTCAATTTATTCTGAAATCTAAATTGGAGTCGGTGACTTATAAATAAATTGTTGCTTAGATTAATCGAAGTTTGGTGTAACCGAATTTAACGCCCTTTTTTACCATTGTGTTTTAAATCTAACTGATCATCTCAATGGAATCGAACAATTATATATATATCAATTATGATTGCGATTGGTCAATTCCGAGGAGTAAATCGTCGTTAGATTTAAACCATGATGGAAACGAGCATAAGTAGGACAAAACAAATAATCGTTCTCCTCTTCTTTATACGTCTATGAGATCAAAATTTACTTTCGATATTGATGATATTTCATTAATGAAATAAATTCAATATTTCCATTATCCTTGTTATGTTGTTCCATACTTTATATTCCAATTTTATCTAATAAAACTTGTCTAATAAAATTTTATCTAACTAAACTTGTGATATATATAATCCCTAACGTACAATATAAGTGGTGTTTATATTCAAGCATGTCCCTATTCATAGGAGAAATATAGCCAAATTAACATTAGTGTGTAACTTGATCATATTTATAATCCTTATGTAGCTACAAAATTTATAAGCCTTTTATAACTACAAAAAGAAATATGTAACATATATTTACCTGTTTTAATATTTAAATTATAATAGCAGATTCCCCAAAATGTCAATTAAATGTATATATATATTTCATTCATAATAGAATAAATTTTCCAATTAATATTTGTCAAATATTTTTCAATTAAATGTAAAGTAAATATTTTCAAAAATATTTAAAGCTTAAATAATAATAGTAATAATGTTAAGAAGAATAAGAATTACTTAAACGTTAAATGATAAAGAGTCTGTAATAGCAGATCATTATTAATGTATTATTGATCTTTTTGAAGAATGCTTTATATTTAAAATAGAAATAATTTGATAACTTTGGTCAACCAGCCCATTTGCCAATCCATACTTTACAGCTTCAGAATTCTTATTGTATAATTCAAAATAAGTCGTACTATTTTTTACTAATTGATCAATTTCTGCTAATTCTTCTGCAGCTGGTTTATCTTTATGTAAATTTTCAATTTTTATACCTAACACAGTGGAATTAATAATTGCCAGCTCAAACCATATAAAACTGCAAATAGTTTGATCGTTTCTCGTATGTAATGTTTTTAAGCAATCTTCTAAGATTTCTATCCGTCGTTTTTGTAGTTTTATCTGATCGATTTTGTCGCGTTCATAAAATGCAAAATATTTGTATGCTTTGGAAACATATTGTGCAATTTCTGCACGAACTGCTGCATCTTTCGAGGTATACTCATTAGTCTGCATTTTATTGAGCAATTGAAGAATATTTACAAATATCATTTTCGCATCATTGTAGTTTCTAATGTAATTATCTTTGACTATATGTACAAACTCTTTATATTCTTTTTCTATATAATTATACATTAATAATTTTGTTGATTGGTTGATGGACTCTGCTGGAAATTCTGCTTTAGAACTATTTGCCATCGAAAACTTTTCTTTTTCTTCCTGGTTTAATATATGTTTTCTTGATGAGTATAAAAGAGTAAGTCCATATCTGACCCAACATGTGTCAATAATATAAATGATGGATTTGTACTGAAAGTGCAGAAAATGCTTATTTTTAGAAGATATTTCCATATTGATTTTATAATAATTGTTGTAATGTTTTATCATAATAACAGATGCAGTAATAAGATGATTTTTACATTCCATGAACCGATCGCATGATAAAAAATATTCAGCTAATCTTATTACTTCCTTAGCCCATGATATATGATCTATAGTTTTTGGTATATTTTTTAATTGCTTCTTTAGCAAATTATGCATATATGTTGAAATTTTCTCCATATCTATAAGGCCATGCTTGACTTTATCCTCTAACATTATCAAAGACCTTAAGGTATCCATATACTTTTTATCCAGTAAATATATGGTATTTGATTTAACTTCAATGCCTATAATATTTAAAATATTAATAGGAGCAGGAAAATCATCCTGTCCTTTTGTATATGCCATATATAACTCCAACGCTTTATTTAAATATTGTAAGGATTTTTCTATGTCCCCTAATGTTGTATGAAGGTGGCTCAATTCATTAAAAGTCACCATTGCTACAAGAATAGCTTTACTATCTAGTTCTTTGTCTTTTAATAATGTCACACTCTGCACAAGACACCCTTCAGCTATATATAAATGTTCTCGCTCTGATGTATTTTTTGGAAATTTTATATAATACATTATGATGAAAGACTGGGCAAGAACTACAATGTCATCAAGGTTTGGATTCTTCGAATTGGTTAGTTCATAAAAACTTTGGTTAATGAGTTCTTCTAAACTTAAGATTTGGCTTGTCTGATTTGTAGAAAATTCTGCCTCGTTTCCGGAAACAACATCTTCTAATAGTTTTAAGTTGCAACAAATTTGAACAAGTTTCTCGGTACAGTTCATTGTTATATTCTCGGCAATCTCGATATTTTTTACAGGCTCCGAATTCATAACAGATGCTAAACAAATTCAGATAATTAGAATAACATAATAACTAAATCGTTTCGAATATATAGCATTTTTCTCTTTACCTGAAGTAGCGTGTTGTATGACCAGTCAAATATTTTTTCGGCAGACATCCTTGAAAAAAACCATTTTGAATAATCTAGTTCTAGTTCTCTTTTAACTGCGGACGTCCTTAGAGCACGTTTCTATCACAGGCGTAAAGTCAGTATCAGATTATTTTCTACATCAGATTACAGATTGGAGATTGAGATTAAATTGAAATTTGACCAATCAGTGCAAAATTCACTAAATTTCACTAAACTTGCATTTAGTTAACTTTGCACTGATTGGTCAAATTCAATTCAATCTCAGCTCCCAATCCGTAGTCTGATACGGGCGTAATGCTGTTTCAGTTTCCTAGGGATAAAATATACGATAAGTACAACCATCTATTATCATTATACTTGATGACAACTTAATGCTGTCTTGTATTACCATGAGTTGAATTAATTAGTAGTAGTAACGATATAGTATTAATTAGTAGTAGTAAAGATATAAGTATCGGTCTACAATAAATATTTTAAGCCTTAAAAAATTAATCAATCACAGTCGAATGTGAAGAGAATAATTAACTGTGATTGGTTAATTTCTTAAGGCTTAAAATATCTATTGTAGACCGACACTAAAATATTTGCAGTTTAGATAATGTACCTAAGAATCATATTTCAATTCATATTAACCCGTCAGTTCCCAAATGAATTGAAACCACAAATTTCTGTTACTTCTTAGGAAATCTCATGTTTTGAAACCTAAAAAAACCAAATTTGTAGGTTTGAGTTTTTCAGGATTTTCAGAATTTTTCATATTTTTCGCTTATGTTCAGTGTTGCCAACTATATTCGCTTTTATTCAGTGTTGACAGTATATTCGCTTTTATTCAGTGTTGACAACTTGTTTTAGAGTCACTAGTATCTAAACTGAACACTTAGAGCCATAGAGATATAAGAATAGAGGGAACAAGCCTGTAAGTGGAAGTCATAGAGGCAAAGAGAGAGATGGATGCCGAGTGTCCTATCTGTCTCTTTCTAGTCACGCGCTAGGATTGGCTGTCGCGCCAACGACGATATAGCTATACATTTTTCTCCATCCAATTCAAAGAAACTGTCATTGCTAAAATGATCACTGCAAATATATGCTGTTTTCACTTCAAAATACAAAGGTAGTTGAAGTATATTCAACCATTTACGCCTTATATCTACATCCTTCGGTAGCTTACAACATTTACATATTTTTTTAAATGTAGGAAAAAATAACATATGATTATTTGAGGTTACGTATTTGTACTTTCTTACGAGTGAAAACTACGGTTACATCCAGGATAAGACTCCGCCTTGCATTTCAAACAATGCTTCATTTTTAAACAAATCGCGTCCAATTATTATTTTGTTAACGTTCGAATATTTAACGAATTTTAATTCTACACACATGTGCACGCATATTTACAAATCGAAATTTTAGTCTGCTTTCTCCCCTCCTGACGTCGCGTGGTCGCTTGGTGGCTCATTGTAACAACCAATCCCAGCGCGTGACTAGAAAGAGACAGATAGGACACTTGGCATCCATCTCTCTCTTGACCTCTATTACTTCCACTTACAGGTAGCATATATCCCTTGTTCCCTCTATTCTTATATCTCTATGCTTAGAGCTCTGTTATAGATTAGCAGTGTTATTTCGATGGTTTATAAGTCAAAAATGTTGTGCCACCTGGAGGGTGCATTGGGAACTGACGGGTTAAATGCAAAAGGTAGAAAATAAGATATTTCCAGGAAAAAGAATTTGTTGCAGCAGCTAATTTTTCTTGATAACTGATAATTGATTTTATTGATATAATATATAAAATACACTTCTACATGTGGTTATATCAATTCATAATATATAGTTTCCATTTGTCACTTTACCCTGCATATGCACAAACGGAATGGAATTTCTAAACTTAGGTTTTACATAATCCTACACATAAAAGAAAACAATTGTTTTATAAATGAGTTCTAATAAGTTCTAATTTAAATGCTTAACATATGTAATACTTTTCGTTTATCAAAATTTCGTTTGAATGATGGTTTTGAAATAAAATCTACCTTTAATCTTGTCGAATTAGTGTACTAGACTGCGCGCGAGTAAGGAACGACACGCAGAGTGCGCGCCCGCCTTGCGGGAACACGAAATATCACGTGAGTGGTATAAGCTGTCCTCTTATTAAACATTTTATCATGCAACAACTATGCATATATTATTTTACCTCTATGAATGAAATTTATTAAATAATTTATATAAATAATATTCCAATAACTTTTCTCAAGGCCAATATTTTTGATACGTTAGAACAATATTTAGTATAAAAGTTACTTGTATGCCATTTAAGCGTATAACTTTACTTGCAGTCGTTCTTTCACTGACATCGGCGTGAAATTCTTTCTTATCAAATATGTTTTATAATGGTAAATTCAGATGTTACTTATTCGATACGGGAAAATTTTTTACCGACGTGACTGAAAGAACGACTATAAATAAATACGCTTAAACGACACAAATATTGTTATACAAAGTGTTGTTCTAACGTTTTAAAAATATCTGTGGTCTTAAAACACTGACAGAATATCATTTATATAAATTATTTATATGAATAAATTTCATTAAAAATAGCGATAGATTCACAGATATTATGCATACTTGCGTAATAAAATCTTGAATGAGATAATATATTTTCTCTATCTACATAAAAAAAATAATCCATACGATTCGCGTAATATTTCGTGGTTCTACAGAGCGCGTCATTTCTTGCCTCGCGCGCAACATAATATGCTAATTCGATAACATTAAATAACTCTCATTTGAAAACAATCATACAAATGGAATTTTGGTAAACGAAAAGTTATCTTAGTGTTATTTGATACCAAGAATCTTCGAGTTGTGTCATATCCCATACATCACATGTAATTCATTTATTTATTGGCCCATCTTGTAGCTATCTCGAACAATATATTTGCCATTGTCATAATATCACTCCTGCTTAATGAAGATTTGTTACTAATATGTCCACAACAAGTTCTGATTCGTACGTTTTATGAAAAAAAGTCGAACAAGCCACGAAAAGAAAAGTTACCTTGATTGTTTGGTGCCAAGAATTTCCAAGTTATGTCATATCCCATACATTACACGTGATTCATTAATTTATTGGCCTATCTTGTAGCTATATCGTACAATATATTGGCCATTGTCATAATATCACTTTTGCTTGATGAAGATTTTTCTACTAATATGTTCACAACAAATTCCGATTCGGGCTTTTTATGAAATAAAGTCGTACAAGCCACTACTGCAGCACTTAAAAAGAACATATTCGACTTGAGGAATACTGGTTTCTTGAATTTAACACGTCCTGAAGTTTTTCGTTGAAATAATGTATATAATTCTTCGCGCTGAAAAAATACAAAACAGCATGTTAAAAATGTGCAACAAGAGTATTGTGCAAGATACAAGAGATACTGTGATATCTCGAGTATATGCGCGAAGCAATGCACAAATCGCAAGACCGGATCATGCAACGTACATGCATTCAATACTATAATTGTTCATTGAGTACTATAATTATATATTCAATACTATAATTGTTCAGTAAGATCTTGGATTTAATTGGTGCACATTTGGTTTTAACTCAGTTTGAATACTCTTTCCTCGATGCAGTTTGGAATACAGTCCAATAAGGGAATTTAATCCATAAGTATGAATTAAAAACCAATTCTCTTATTGAACCACCGGCTGCGTTCTAAATTGCATTGAGAAAAAAGTGTACAGATTATATATTGAAATCATATTGAAACCAAATGTGTACCAAAAGTACCAAAAGTGTATATTTAGTTCCAATGCAGTATGGACATTTTTTTTATGCAGTTCAGGAAATAGCCAAATGTCTAATAGGGAACCTTGTTTTTGCATAATTCCCAGAAGTTAAAAGTGTCTTACTGGACACATCGACTGTATACTAAACTGCAAGGAACATGAGGAAAATGTTGCTCAAAATATAGTTAATTTTTGAGCATATTTCCCTCTTGAATGTGAACCGTAAAGGATGATTTTCTTGCCAGTCTTACGTTCTTTCCTCACTCCTTTGACGAGTCAAACCCTCCCGTATTTATAAAGGAATAGCAGCTGAAGAACAACTTAGTATTAGGTGCTGCATTTCTCATGAAACAAACTGAAATCTTCATGAAACGTTGGAATTAAATCTACAAAAAATATGGCACCAATCCTGAAGCTAAACTCAGCAAAAAACATCAAATATCAAATCTATAGCATATTATCATTATGTAAATAAACGAAATGCTATAAAACTCGCGCAAGAAACTGCTTGATTTTAGACAAATATCTCAGAATTACTAGTGAATAAAACGTTACTCATTATACACACGAGATAAAGCAATAAATAATATCATCTTGAATGTTAGACTTTGATATTTCAATCTTATATTGAAAAGTACCAGAATAAAATATAAAATATCTCGGGTTCATTTCTCGATGATATTATCCCGGTACTTTAATAAACAGAATGACTAGAAGAATCGATCGATTTATATATTAAAAAACATAGGATTCAATAAAAAAAAAAATAAAGGTGATCTTCAAAACTATTGCATCTAGAAGTGAAGCGTTACCGCCATAAGACTATCGCTTCTGAATTATATAATTTGTCAAATAAATTTTTCTCTTAATCATATTTCGAAGATGATAATAATTAATGCTTTACCATGTACAGAGTATTGCATCAACATATAGAGCAATATGCCGGGTTGCAAAGGCATGCATGAAAGTGTGTATGTACGAAAGAGAGAGAGAGAGAGAGAGAGTGATCACCTTCCGAAGAACTAAGAATACTAATGGAGAGAATCAACTGAGGGAGGGGTCAACTGGAGAGAGAGGCGAGAACAAGGGAATTAATTATTTCCTGAAATACTATACTATCAGAACAAAGTATAAACCATGGTCCAATCACTTTAACGAACCTAGATAATTTGTCACATTTATCAACTGCGTGCCAACTATTATAACTTGAATGAATCATTATACAAAAAATTTCTAGTAGACAGTCCACGATACAGCAATGGGGAAAATAGACATCAATTATGACATTTTTACATGTAACTAATACAATAAATTGAGGATAGGATTAATGATTAGAAAGAGTGGGAGCATGTCGACCATTTTATATAGAAAGATGGCCTCCTCCTGGAAAAGGAGGAAATCAACGTACCTAAGATTTACAGGTTTATCACAAAAACTGGAAGAATTGTCTAAAGTAGGAGGAAAATACAAGAGTCCGCGTGAATAGTTGAGAGGTGTATAAGAGGAAAATGGGAAAATAAAAGAGGAAGAAGTGTGCTGAATAAATGCTAATGGAACAATCCGCAGGCATTTTAAAATAAAAGAATTTCGGATCGGTCGCGCGCACTCCCACGCATCTCCGACGTCACATATTAATTATACGTTGTTATTATATATATATGCGGTCGTACGACCGCAGCGACGAAGTATTGTTGTCACGTGAGAGGTGACTTACGACCGATAAGGGTTAATAATATGTATATAATATATATGTAGTTATAATAAGTATGTGTTAATTAAGACAACACTTTCTATATCATGAATTAGATATTTGAAATAATAAATCATGTTTAAATTTTTTAATAAAATATATATGTGTGTGTGTGTATGTGTGTGTGTGTGTGTGTGCATACATATACTTTTTCTTTAAATGGTAATTATAACAAAAATGCTGGATTTGTACCTGTAAAAATGCTACATCCAATAACAGCTGTGCAACTTCATAGTCTTTTTCTGAACGATGTGTTGCTGCTAGCAAAACCTCAACGCAAGATAGCGGTGTATCATGTGGCATTTTAAATCCCACCATCTTAAAAACTTCAGATTCAGAAGAAACTATCATATCTCGTGTATAAACGGTTTCTTTGTCCATGATTTGTAAATACTCAAGAATCTATAAAAACAAATATGGCATTTAGTCTGACAAAATGTGTACAATAGTATTTTAATCTTTTACAAAGTATATCGTGTTAACATACCTCCGATATTTCTATTCTAATATAAGATAAATCCATTTTACTTGCTAGTTGGAAGCATGTCAACAGATATAATTTTATCTTGCTGGAAAATGCATCCAAACGTTCTTCCCAATTGTTTATAACTCCATCCATAAAAACTTCCATATATTTATACATAAATTCGTCAAATAATAGAAGAGCTATATATTTTATATTTGATGTAACTCCCAGTTGGTCTGCTAATTTGAAAGTTGTATCCACAGCAGATATCTGAATTGCTGATTATAATTTAAAATATTTGTCGTATTAGTATATAATAATGTCGTATTAGTATATAATCGGAATATTATGTTAATTACTATTTAAATATTACACAGAATGTGTTTAATCAGTATCATATGATTTTTTGTTCGTTCCATTATTAATATATAGAGAATCCTACTTCAATCTATCAACCCTCTTATCTCCGTAGGATAAGGTCGAATGAAAAATATGTTCAGATAAAAGTTATAGAGTTTGGGGAGGAATTTAAGCTAGTGACCGTAATTTCGTTGCATAGTTA